TTTCAATCCCCAAGGGAGAGCTAGATGTCTGTCATGATAAAGAGATACAAGAGGCATTCTGTGTGTGTGTATGTATATATATTTACATACATATATACAATATATATATAGCACATATATTTATGGAATATGTATACATAATATATATTTAAAGAAAATATATAACATACACAATATATATAATACATATTTACAGAATGTATTATATATAGAGAGAATGTGTTATATACACACAGAAAATATCTGTGTAGAATACATATATACATATGGAGACTATATATAAAGAATATGTATAATATATATAAATATGTAGATATAAATATATAAATATATGTATTCTATTTACTTGTATATATATAAAATATACAGAATATATAGATATATAAAACTAAATATAAATATATATACATATATAGGTATAGAATATATACACAGAACATATATAAATATAGAATATATATACTTCTATATCTACTTGTCTGTCTACTTTTACTAGTGTAGTGCAGTGTGGTATAAGGTAAAAGATAATTTGCTTACCAAAGAAGATGTATTCCAGTGATCCAGTTAGAAAAATGTGGCAGTGATGTTGGCAATGAGTATACAAGTCAAGAATAGTAAAAGGTAAAGCAAGACAGTGTGAGATGATGGGTACAGTTAGGTGAACAAAGGGTAGTATGAAAGGGTGACAGAGTCAAGTGATTTATGCAGCTTTACAGTCCCAAGGAAATTACAGTATTGTTTCTGGGTTAACAGACACTGCTAAGTTTTAGAATTGGTACATTTTTCTGTTTGCTGCCTTGTTAGAGATGCTTGGCCTTTGCTTGGGATGTCAGATTGAACAAGGAAAAAACATATTTTGTACTACAAAATATCCATGATGTTTTTCTTTCTGTTAAAATTAATTCAGTTCTCCCAATTCCTTTGTATTTCTCCACATTCAACATTTTGTGTAGCTTCTCCATCATGGGACACAACCTCACGACATCAATCATGCCTTTTATTTGTACAATGCTTTGAAAAATGCTCACTTTCAGTATCACATCTGTGCTCACAAACAAGTGATAAATTGAAAGGATTAGTATTTTCCCATTTTAAGGAAAAGGGAACTAAAAGAGTTAGTGTATACTGGAAGATCTGACCCCAAATCTTGTGGTTATTTTCACCAATGTACAGACACTGAATTCCCTTTCTTAAACAAGCATGTTAAGGTATAAGAGAAAAATTAGAAAATAGATGGAACCTCTGCTAATATTTCAAAAATTATGATTTTGAATGATATGAGAGCTGATTCTTTAGAAATAAGATTGATTTATAAATATTGACTTGAAATAATACATTTAAAGCCCCAAGTTTCCAGTTCTGTCAGAGGAGCTTGTATCACACCAATCCTCATAGAGTTGATTGGAAAGGCTATAAAATTTTGTTTAAAATCTTAGGATATATTTTGATTGTCCACATTCAGAGGTCACAAGTCTGAAGTGGATCTCCCTGGGCTAAAATTAAGGTGTCCGGAGGGCTGTGGTCTTTCTGGAGGCTCGAGGGGAGAACCCATCCCCTTGCCTTTTTTAGCTTCTTGAGGCCACTTACATTCCTTGAGTCAAGACCTCCTTCCATCTTAGAAGCCAGCAATGGTTAGTCAAGTATTTCTAAAGATGCTGTCTCTCTGGTTATGACTCTTTCACCTTCTTCTTCCATTTATAACGACCTTTGTGATTAACCTGGGCCCACCAGGATGATCATGGTCCCAACTCAAAATTGGCTGATTAACAACCTTAATTCCATATGTATCCTTATTCTCCTTTGCAGTATTCTAGGTTCCAGTGACTAGAATGTGGACATCTTGGGAGGACCATTTTGCCTACTACACAAGGCCCATGTAGGTCAATAAAGGCAAAAAGAAAATGGAGGGGGTTCAACCACCGAATGGAAGAAACAAAAGGAGTGTGATTCACATTTATATGGTTTTGAGTGTAAAGGCAAGCCCCAATCCATGCTGCATAGGAAGGCCCTGCACTTGCATTAGCTTGAGCAGACAATTTTGCATTCCTGCCAGCAGTAATAATAATTCTGTTGCTCCACATCCTCACCAGCATTTCATGTTTCAGAGTTTTGGATTTGGCCATTCTAATAGGTGTGTAGTGGTATCTCGTTGTTTTAATTTGCATTTCCCTGATGACGTATGATGTGGAGCACCCTTCCATATGCTTATTTGCTATCTGCATTTCTTCCTTGGCGAGGTGTCTGTTCAGATTCTTCATTCTATTTAACAATGTACGAGAAGTATTAGTCAATGAAACTAGACAAGGGAGGAAAAATCAATTTGAGGCATAGAAACTGGTAAAGAAGTGAAGCCTTCTCTATTTTCAGATGCTATGAGAGCTTATCTAAAAATTTCTAGAGCTTTGATGACAAAATTAATTGAAACAATAAAAGCATTCAGTAAGATAGCAGAACATAAAATTAATGTACAGAAATGATCAGCTTTCATATGTAAAATCAATTGCTAGGGGCAATAATAGTAGAGAAATACCATTTAAAATAGCATCAGAGAAGATCACTTTCTTAAGAATAAAATGAACATGAGCAGTGTGAAACTTATATGAAGAAAATGTGACAATACTCGTGAAGGACACCCAAGCAGACCTCAACATGTTGGAAGATATGCCCTGGTCTTGTGTAGGAGGAATAAACATCATAAAGATGCCCATTATCTCTGCTAATTTATAAATTTAATGGGATTCGAGTAAGAACATTTATTCACATTTAAATGGAGCTTAATTAGTTGATAATAAAGGCAAGTCAATGATAAAATTTATATAGAAAACCATTATGCAAGTAGAGCTAGGATAACACAAAACAAAGGAAAACTGCAAGGGACACCAGCCTTACCAGACATGAAACCATACTGTAGTCTCATTAAATAGAGTAGTACCAACATATGAACAACAACAACAAAAAAACCCCGAGTGTGATAGAATAGAAATGCCAGAAATTAATCCAAATACATATGAAAATGTATTATGTAATTAATGTGGCATCTTTAAAAAGTGGTCTTGGAAAAACTGGCTGATAGTTTTGGAAAAGATAAAATCATATCTACCTCACACCAAAATCAAGAATGAAATCTAAATAGATGACTTATCTAAAGGTAAAAGAATAAATGACACCAGTACTGGAAAAAATCATGGGTGACTTTCCATTTATCTTATGTGTATAGCTAGGCCTTCTAACTATGGCTTAAAATCTGGAGGCAATAAGAAAAAATGTTGATAACTGCGGCTACATAAATATTAAAAAAATCTGTTGCATGGCAAAAACAAAAGAAAACCCAGCATAAATGAAACTGTACCTTCCAGACTGTGAGTAAATATTTGTACTGTATGTCAAATATAAAGAGTCAATGTCCCTAATCTATAAGAACTTGTAAAAATTGAGCGGGAAACTCCAAAATCTTTATTGAAAAAATGGAGAAAATACATGAGCAGAAAATTCACAAAAGCAGGTATAAAAATGGCCCTGAAATGTATGAGAGGATATGCATTCTCAGTCATATTTGGAGAAAGGTAAATTAGAACTATGCTAAGAAATTATTTGTCACCTATCAGATTGGCAAAAATTAAAAAGAATGACAGCACATGATGTTAATGAAGCTATAGTGAAAAAGAGATCCTCAAACTGGTGAAATTCCTTCTGGGGGAATTTGGTTGTACCTAACAAAAGTATGGATGTACTATTTTACATAGTAACTCCACTTCAGGGAACCTACCCTGAAGATACAGCTCCAATAATGACAAAAAATATGCACAAGGATATTCACAACAGCATTATTTGTAATTATAATATATTAAAAACAATCTAAATTCCCACATAGAGAAGAGTGATTGGATAAATTATGCTAATCCATACATTGCAATACTACGCAGTTGTGAAAAATAACAAGAATGGCTTCTGTAAAGAGATAAGGATTTCCAAAATACATTCTTAAATAAAAATTAAAAAGTGCAAAATAATATCTATAATATGCTATATTTTCTGTAAAAAAGATGAATAACAAAGTTATACATGTACACATACTCATTTAACAAAAAGAAACAAAGGGAGAATAAGCCGAAACTAATGACGTCATTTATATAGAGTGAGTGGGTCAAAACATATGGAAAATATTGGGGAATTAGAATGGGGAAGAAGGGACAGGGAATGACTTTTTTCTAAGTACAATTTTATGTATAGTACTGACTTTTAGAACTTAATTAATATTTCTTACACCCAATGACATTAATAATAAAAATTCACAAAAATGGGGATTGGGACCCAGAATGGAACACAAACAGGATCAAATAAACATAACATAAGTGAATGATGTAACTATAATGCAGAGGGGATAAGAATCCACCTTCATAACTGGGAAAAAATACTGTGACTATATTTCTAGAAGCAGAGACACAAATAACATACAGAAACATTGTAGTATAGTTAATAGGTTTGTTTTTCATAGGAGTATAGGTCATCAATTTTCAAACTACTTTAAATGTATTTTAGAATTGACCAAATAAGTAAAAACATGTACAAAAAGTTATGCCTTTCTCATTGTCAGAGACAAATTGTAAATAAAGAAGGATGCTTAGAATTAATCTTGTGATATTTGAGAAGAACTGGTGGTTTCAGTATGACCTCATGGTTTCTGATATACAGAAAGATATGGAAATAGACATGTATATGCATAAATACATACATATCCTAGCTCTGACCATTAAGCCAGGAACCTTCGAACAGTGACACCCAAGTATCAATGAACACAATTAGCACCCAGGTCTTGGGTTCTAACTCTGTTGACCAGCAATCAGCGATACCTGGAGGAAAGGCTGATTCCAGGGCTTGGGCAGGAAAAGTCAAACATGAGCCTGAAACATATTGCAGCACCGAATAAGGAAGTGTACAAACAATGATGTAAGAAGGACACAAGAGAGGTCGCCGGCTCCGGGGGGAGGAGTTCAGGTAAGATGCCAGCTTGTACCACAAGGAAAAGGAAGCAGCATCCTTTGAACTGTGACAACCTGTTAACAGATGCTCCAACCAAGAAATTAATTTTGGACTTCACTGAAAATATATTTCCATCACCTAATAAAAAGCACATTTGCCAAAGCAGTGATAAAAATGAAGAAAAGGTGCATTGCTCTCAACAAGGGCACTTCATTTCAAGTCCTCTCAAAACAACTAAAAAAAATAGATCGCCATCTGCAAATCAAGTTTTGCCATTTAAATCTGCTGTGTCTACTGTATCCTTTTACAACAAAGATAAGTGGTACCTCAGTCCACTGGAGAGAAGGCTGATACAAGACAGTAGATCCATTTGTCCAAAAACTAAGAGTGAAGATAAGTCTTTTCCCAGTGTGACAAAAAAAAAAAAAAAACACAGGGAAAACCAGTTTACACCAAGAAGATGAACAAAAAACCACACAAGAGTTTAACTCCTAAGTATCAACCAAGTTATAAGTACATCAAGCCAGTTTCAAAGAATTCTAAAAATTCCAAGAAAAATCAAGTGGCTTGTAAGCCAATTGTGGAGAAAGAGAATAACTGTTACTCAACTGAAAGTAATCTGAATACTCCTCGGGTTCTAAGCCAGAAAGTCAAACCACAAGTTACACTCCAGGGAGGAGTGGCATTTTTTGTTAGTAGAAAAAAATCCTCTCTTAGAAAATTGCCTCTGCAAGATAAACCAGTACTGGGATTCACCCAAAAGAATAAATCAAAAGTAATTAAAGATTCTAAAATAACTGTCATTGAAAGAAGTTTTGAGACAAGGCAAATGCCAAAGTGCCTGTTATTAGAAAAGAAACTTAAAAATGGAGCAAAATTAATAAAGGATTCATCAGGTGGAGTATTTTCTTCAGAGGAATGTAAGCCTGGTGAAAATAAATGTTTTCCCTCTGAAGATTCTCTCAGTGAGAACAAGGCAGTTTCCCCTGAGTCCACTGTGTATCCCATCTTCAGTGTGTCTTCAGTCAGTACAAAAAGATCTCTAGTTGAAGAACAGTCTTCTGTGGGATCCATCATATCTACTAACTCCTTGAAACAGACCAATAATCAAAAAAGTAGTAATGCCAGAGACACAAATAAAGAAACAAAAGATCAGCTCGTCATTGATGCAGGTCAGAAACATTTTGGAGCCACCATGTGTAAGTCTTGTGGCATGATCTACACTGCTTCCAGCCCTGAAGATGAACTACAGCACATTCAGCATCACCACAGATTTCTGGAGGGAATCAAATATGTAAGCTGGAAAAAAGAACGCATAGTAGCAGAGTTTTGGGATGGGAAAATCGTGTTGGTCCTGCCACGTGATCCAAGCTATGCTCTCAGAAAGGTAGAAGATGTCCAAGAACTTGTCGATAATGAATTGGACTTCCAGCAAGTTGTTCCCAGATATCCAAACAAAAACAAAACTTTTCTATTCATATCTGATGAGAAGAGAGTAGTTGGGTGCTTAATTGCAGAGCCCATCAAACAGGCCTTCCGTGTCCTGTCTGAAACAACTGGCACAGAATCTCCAAGCTCAACAGAATGTCACAGGGCTTGGCAATGTTCAAATATACCAGAACCTGCAATCTGTGGGATAAGTAGAATCTGGGTGTTCAGACTGAAGAGAAGAAAACGCATTGCAAGACGACTGGTAGATACTCTCAGTAATTGCTTCATGTTTGGCTGTTTCCTCAGCACTGACGAAATAGCATTTTCTGATCCAACACCAGATGGCAAGTTATTTGCAACTAAGTACTGCAACACCCCTAATTTCCTTGTATACAATTTTAATAGTAAAATTCAATTTCAACTATAGAAGTTATTGTATGTATGAGTTCAGATAGTCCCGTGTCATAAATACAAACTATTTAACAAGTATCAAAATAAAAATACTAGGACACACACATCCACACAAAATTGCCTCAGTTTTGTTTCTTATGAATCGAAAACTCAAGGATAAATTTGTTGAAAATTATCTGGGCATTTCAGAGAAAGGAAAAAATCTTTGCATGATATACAGAATCTTGTTATAAAACTTTGTAGCTGTAACTGGAAAATTATTTGCTTCCTACATAAGAACATTGACAAAGCAAGGTGGCTGCCCACAGAAAGATGACCCTGATCTTTCACAAACCACCCTCTGGATGAGGGCTCTCTCATGCCTGATCAGAGGCAAACAGGAAAATTTTAAGATAGATTATTTCCATGCCCTATTTTTAAAGATAGTACTGAAATTCTGTACACAGAATTTTTATTTTGTAGGTATTTGGCTGTAACAACTCAGTTTGAATATATTTAGAAAGTGCTTTCAATTTCTCATTTGTAGAAGGGAAAGATGGCAAATAATGAGTACAGTTTTCATATCCTTTTATGTGGAACAGAATTCTATGGCTTAATGTTTAAATCTTTTTAAAAGTCATATTAATCAAAGCACACCTGTCATCACATTTAATTAAAATTGAAATTTAGTAATCGCACTATTTCACTAACTTCTGGTGTGTGAAAATGCTAACTGCCACCTTAATGTATTACTGGGATTGATGTCATTAATAAAATGGATACCCAATTGGAAAAAAAAAAAAAAGAAGGACACAAGAGCCAACTCGAAGAGGCTCTCAGTGGCCAAATCTGGGACAACATAAGCAACAAAATAAATAATAACAGTATGAAATCATATTCCATAAAATAAATAAAACTCCACAAGTTCCTACAGATATAAATAAATAATTTAATAAATGGGGGGAAAGGGAAAGTTCTTCCTTACAATATAATTCTAGCTAATAAAAATAGAAAGAATGATGGAAATAGAAAAATAATCACTTGCAAGCACCACAGTACTAATTGTTTCAGGCAAGAATCATGAAAGGATACTAAAATTAGTAGGCAGTATATGATGAGAAACAGGATAATTATAGAGGCTCAGAGTATCTGCTCCAAGATGTCTATTAATTGTAAAGTTTAAAATAGTAACTCTATGGTGGAGAAACCTAGCAGACACTACCTTAACCAATGACAAAATTAACATTACCACTAATGGGATGAATCAGCCTCGTGCTTCCTGATACATGCACTGAGAAGGATATAACATCACTTATGTGGTACTCCTGCCAAAAATTCATAAGATGAATGTAATTATGAGAAAATCTTATAGAAATCCAAAGTTTGGGGCTTTCTACAAAATAGCTGGTTGATAGTCTTCAAACATGCCAAGGACATTAAACACAAATAAAGACTGAGGACCTATTTAAGAATAAAAGAAAGTAAGGAGCTATGAAAACTAAATACAATGTCTGATCCTGGATGGAATCCTGAACTAGAAGAAAGAAAAGATACTAGCAGGAAAATTGGTGAACTTTGAATAATGTCTGTAGAATTTATTATAGCATTGCAACAATGGTACTTTTCTGATTTTCATAACTGTACTATGATTTTGCAAGATGTTGTTAGCATTGGGGAATCTGGGTGATGTATACATAGTTAAACTTTGAACTACGATTATATTTTTGTTAAGTCTGAAAAATTAAAAATGGAAAAATATTAGGTATTTAAATAACCCAGTGGAAGGCAGGCCAGGAAAAACAGAGGAACAGAAAGCATATGTGACAAGTAGAAGACAAATAGTAAAGTGGTTAACAAAAGTCTAATCATATGCAGGTATATTAAATGTAAATGGGTTTAACATTCCAATTAAAATTCAGAGACCATCAGACTAGATGAAAGAACAATATCCAACTATTTGTTTTCTACACGAGATGAGCTTTAAATATAAAAACACAGGTTGAATGTAATAGGATTAAAAAAGATTTATTAAACAAAAAATAATAAGAAGAAAACTGGATTAATTATATTCATGTAAGATAAAGCAGATTTCAAGACAAATTGACCTGTATTGAACTTTATGGCAAACAACAGCAGCATGAGCATATTTCAAGTGTGCATGGAATAACCACCAAGATAAACCATATACTGAGCCATCAATACATTTTTAAATGTATCAGATATACAGAGTATGTGTCTGACTACAATAGAATAAAGTAAAAAATCAGTAATAATAACATATCTAGAATATCCTCAGATAACTACATTAATCAAACATACACTTCTAAATAACTCCTTGGTTGAAGAAGAAATCAAAAGAGATATTAGAAATATGCTTAACTGAATAAAAAGAGAAATACAGAATTAACATTTATGGCTTGTAACTAATGCAATGTCTAGGGAAAAATTTATTAGCTTTTAGAAACAAATAAAGTAATCTGGGTTTTGACCATAAGAATCTAGATAAAGTTGATCACATAAATCCAAAGTAGAAGGATATAATGAAGTAAAAAGAAGTTAAAACAAAAAGATGGAGCCAAGATGGCAGCATGAGTAGGACAGTGGGAATCTCCTCCGAAAAACATGTAAATTTTTGAAAATACAACAAATACAACTAATCCTAAAAGAGAGACCAGAAGACACAGGACAACAGCCAGACTACATCCACACGTGCAAGAGCCCAGCACCTGGTGAACGGGGTAAGATACAAGCCCCGGCCGGCGGGACCCCAGCACACCTCCCCCCAGCTCTCGGAGGGAGGAAGAGGGAGCCCAGGACTGCTAAACACCCAGCCGAGCCACCCGCACCAGAGAGCAGACACACTGCATGCATGGAGGGCTGGAATCTAGGGAAACAGGGCAGCAAGACCTCTGAGCGGGTCCCGAAGCTGATGCCCCTGTGACAAAGAAAAGTGAGTGCTTTTTGAAAGTCTTAATGGGAAAGGGACACAACAGCTGGACAGAAACAACCCAGGTCACAGTCCAGCAGCTGGAAATTCCAGGAAAACCCAAGTCCACTAACCCCCTGGGCAACAGCTCTGAGACCCCTCATGGAGGTAAACAGCCAAACAACCCCCCATCCATTACCCCTCTGGGGCACGGCCATAGCAGAGAAGCAGCCTGAGACTGGCCACACCCTAAGCAAGGGAGCTTCCTCCATACCGGCCGGGCAAGACACAAAGACCCAGTCTACACGCAATTGCCCAACACAAGCCACTAGGGGTCGCAGTTGTCCCAGTAAAGACAGGCCAGTAGCAAGTGGAAACTTTGGCTCTCCCAGCTGACAGTCAATAGCACATATCAACATAAAAAGGCAAAAAAAATTGATCCAGACAAGACTAACCCAGACAGCTTCAGCATCTGCAACATCTTCCCCTGAGAAGGAACCTGGAGAGATAGATTTAACCAGTCTTTCTGATAAAGAATTCAAAACAAAAGTCATAACCATGCTGATGGACTTGCAGAGAAATATGCAAGAACTTAGGAAGGAGAATACAGAAATAAAAGCAGCTCTAGAAGGACTTCAAAACAGAATGGACGAGATGCAAGAGACTGTTAATGGACTAGAAATCAGAGAACAGGAATGCAGAGAAGCTGATGCAAAGAGAGATAAAAGGATCTCCAGGAATGAAAGAATTCTAAGAGAGCTGAGTGACCAATCGAAACAGAACAATATCCACATAATAGGAGTACCAGAAGAAGAAGAGAGAGAAAAAGGGATAGAAAGTGTCTTTGAAGAAATAATGGCTGAAAACTTCCCCAAACTAGGGGAGGAAATGGCCTCTCAGACCACAGAAGTACACAGAACTCCCATGACAAGGGATCCAAGGAGGGTAACACCAAGACACATAATAATTAAAATGGCAAAGATCAAAGACAAAGACAAAGTATTAAAGGCAGCCAGAGAGAAAAAAAAGGTCACCTACAAAGGAAAACCCATCAGGCTATCATCAGACTTCTCAACAGAAATCCTAGAGCCCAGAAGATATACTTAATGCAATGAAGCAGAAGGGCCTCGAACCAAGACTACTGTATCCAGAACGATTATCATTTAAATATGAAGGAGGGGTTAAACAATTCCCAGACAAGCAAAAGTTGAGGGAATTTGCCTCCCACAAATCACCACTACAGGGCATCTTACAGGGACTGCTCTAGATGGGAGCACTCCTAAAAGGAGCACAGAACAAAACACCCAACATATGAAGAATGGAGGAGGAGGAATAAGAAGGGAGAGAAATAAAGAATCATCAGACCGTGTTTAAAATAGCTCAACAAGAGAGTTAAGTTAGACAGTAAGATAGTAAAGAAGCTAACCTTGAACCTTTGGTAACCACAAACTTAAAGCCTGCAATGGCAATAAGTACATACCTTTCAATAATCACCCTAAATGTAAATGGACTGAATGCACCAATCAAAAGACACAGAGTAATAGAATGGATAAAAAAGCAAGATCCATCCATATGCTGCTTACAAGAGACTCACCTCAAACCCAAAGACATGCACAGACTTAAAGTCAAGGGATGGAAACAGATATTTCATGCAAACAACAGAGAGAAAAAAGCTGGTGTTGCAATACTAGTATCAGACAAAACAGACTTCAAAATAAAGAAAGTAACAAAACATAAAGAAGGACATTACATAATGATAAAGGGCTCAGTCCAACAAGAGGATATAACCATTATAAATATATATGCACCCAATACAGGAGCACCAACATATCTGAAACAAATACTAACAGGACTAAAGGAGGAAATAGCATGCAATGCATTCATTCTGGGAGACTTCAACACACCACTCACTCCAAAAGACAGATCCACCAGACAGAAAATAAGTAAGGACACAGAGGCACTGAACAACACACTAGAACAGATGGACCTAATAGACATCTACAGAACTCTACATCCAAAAGCAACAGGATACACATTCTTCTCAAGTGCACATGGAACATTCTCCAGAATAGACCACATACTAGGCCACAAAAAGAGCCTCAGTAAATTCCAAAAGATTGAAATCCTACCAACCAACTTTTCAGACCACAAAAGCATAAAACTAGAAATAAAATGTACAAAGAAAGCAAAAAGGTTCACCAACACATGGAGGCTTAACAACAAGCTCCTAAATAATGAATGGATCAATGACCAAATCAAAATGGAGATCCAGCAATATATGGAAACAAACGACAACAACAACACAAAGCC